CCCAGTTAAACGACAGTTAAACGATATTTAACTGAAGTCCTAAAAGGGGTGCGGGTTTTAATGTTTTTATCTTTTTTAATCTTTTTCAAAATGTCTTTCTCTTTCTCACTGTTTATTCAATGTCACATGCTGTTTTTATTTTAATTATGTAAAGCACTTTGAAATGCTGCTGAAATGTGCTATACAAATAAAATTTGATTGATTGATTGATGTATAACTGAGTGTCATCAGCATAACTGTGGAAAGTGATTCCATGGTTCCTGATGACTTCACCAAGCGGCAACATGTTTAAATTAAAAAGTAGAGGACCTAAAATAGAGCCTTAACTATGGCATCCCCCTAAAGCTATCCTTAGCTTAATTTGTTTTTTTGTTTGGTATTTTGTTTTGGAGCCTGAGAATTTCCCTCCTAGGTGGTACACTTGTTATTCACTTTTTATGTTTCTACTGGTGTTTCTACAAAGTTTACATCTTGGCGAAAGATGTAAACTTTACTCTGAATACTCCTTCTACCAGTGACACAGGGCGAGTTTTATTGTTTGGTTTAAATATAACGTTTCAGTGGTGTCATCTGAAAAACAAAACCTTGCAGTGTTGTTGCTCAGACTAAAATTATAATGAAAACAGATCTCTTTTTGTTCCAGAGGACCAATAAGGTGCTGACCAGTCAGAGTTGTAAGTGTTCACATTTTTTCCATGAGACCCTGAAAACTATTATGAGAAGTGGGTGTGAGTGGCAGGCAAATGGTTGAAATGAGAGCCATGCCAAGAGGCTTTTAACAGCAATTACTGCCAAACACTGATCATTTTTAGCGACAATGATGAAGCCTGACTGAGGGATGAATCATGAAGCAAGAGGTCCCCTTTATTTATAATGTCAAAATTTGCTTTGTACAGTTTCAGAATTTAGGACTCAACTGTAGGCCTCAGAATGGCAACTCAGAGGTCTGAAGTAGTCTTGAAATCTCAAGAATTGGTTAGATTTTGACATAATTACAAAAGGCTAGCATAACAAGCACCATGGTTCATGATGTGTGTTACCGTGACATTTTTGTTTAAAGGACTTATAGGACTTTAAAATACTAGTTCAGCTATTACACAGCCTGTTTAAAGTTGAAAATTTTGTGGCAAAATGCTATATTAATAGAAATAGGAGACACACCCTTCAGAATTTTATCTCTCAAAAATTTGGAAAGCCACATTTTATTTCTTTTTACTTTCACAAATATGCTGTACTTTCTGTCAGTCTGCCGCTGTAATTATCTTTAAAATTTGTTTTGAGAGGGACTGAAGTAGGGAATACATTTTTACTGGAACACCATTAAGAAACAAGTCCTACAATAGATTGTGCATTTTTGATGCTCATCCTCAGCTTTGACACATTTTTATTCATTTTAAAGGCAGGATCTCACATCTCCTGCCTTTAAAGTGCTGCTGCCAGACATACAAAGTACACATTTTATACATATTTTTGTCTTTATGTAATTATTGAATTGTAGTACTCTTACTAGTGCTCTTTATTCCTGAAATGTGTAAAACATAACTAAGTGGTGTCCTAAAAACTGAAAATAGGGGAAATTTTCTGTTTTTTTTCCAAATCTTCTTACTATGTGTTTTCATATTGACTAGGAGGCCTTTTCCCCACTGGGTCCCATGAATACGAGGTGTTTCGTTTCGCCCTGGCGCAACATCAGGATGTCCCCAAACTGGTGCCACAGGTGGACATGGTGGACATTGGGAGCAGTTTTGCCATGACCTATGCTTGTAAGTGAAAACACTAAAAACTGTGAGTGTGTGACAGAGGGAAGATTTCAGATTGTCTTTGTGAACAAAAATACTACATTTTTGGGGTTGGAAGACTCTGGGAAGACGCATTGACTTTGATTCTTCAGTAGCCTATTTCACTGAACAGTGTGCATTTTGTGTTGCTTTTTGCATTTTGGTACAAAGGTTTATTGTGGTCCGTTTATTTTGTTATTATATCCCAAAGCTCATGAAAAGACAGCCAGATTAAACAAACTCAACTGTGTGAGAAACACCTTCACTGAAAACACAGTCTAGTCCTAAAAAAGCACTGAAAGTCAAAAAGGCTTCAGCATCTGAAGAATATAAAATATTTAACACTAAAAAACAGACCTACAGAAAGTAAACACCTTTAAAATAAATAAGAATGAACAAGTGACTCTACAAACCTCAGCTTGATTTAAAAATGTAACTTTTTAAACTGAAAGCTTTGCATTCCTAAATTAAACTTCTAAAACATACCCCTTTTTGAAACACAATTTTGCTCATTCTGAAATCAGACTCATCTAACGTAGATTTGGGACCAGTGACCGTTATTTTTTATTACCTGACAGGAAGAAAAGTAAAGAGAAAGGTGGAGGTGCAGCAAATGTCCTGAGTTGGGCCGAGGACCGAGGACAGCTGCATGACGGTCTTTAGCCTCTGTACATGATGCTCCTGCTTTACTGCTGAGCCATGTGGCACCAAGCAAAAAGGCAATTTGATCGAGGGCTGTTGTAAACAAATATTTTAGTAATCGAGTAATCTATCGATTATTCTTATGATTAATCGAGTAATCGGATAAATAAATTTATAAAATGAAATATTGGTAAATCTGGCATAGCACCGGTGTTACTATCGGATAGCAATGTCAGTCCAATTTTTCATATTTGAGCTTCCCTAGCAGTTACTTTTCTGTAGTTTAGAAAACTAACCTGTAACAATAATAGCTCATTTTCTAAGTTAACCTGAAGAAAAGTTATATAATGATCTCAAATTATATTCAATTTAATAATAAAGAGGCAGGCTCACAAATACGCTTATAAAAAATGTCTATAATTCAGCTTTTAGTTTATGTATTCATCTTCAGTCAGTTTAACAGATGAACTCTCACCTTGCCCCAAACCTGTCAAGTTTTGGGTTTGAGAATACGGGAAATGTCATCTGGAGTTGGGGGTTTGGAGTCCGGGGCAGTACAAATCTGCACGAACGAAAGACCCGGGAGGGCAATACGGAATATTTACGGGAAAATGCTAATACGGGAGCACAGCGGGAAAGGGGGAATAAAAAAACGGTAGTTTCCCTGCCAAAACGGGAGACTTGACAGGTGTGCCTTGCCCAGCCATTTATAGCTTTTTTGTCCTTGTTAACAATGGGATTTGACACCTTCGTTCGTCACACTCAGAAACTCATCTACCAGCCGTACGATGCGTTCCGCCTCCCATTTGTTGAGACCGGGATGATATGAAATTTATTGTGCGGTTCGTCCGTAAAGCTACACTTGCACTATAAGCATGAACTACTCAGCCGTCCGCCATGTTCAGTCTATCTGCTTACATGTATAAGTGATGGACTCTGACCTGAACCTTCAGAGCCACATTAAGACAGTCACAAA